GCAGTTGAGCATTAGCATTCACTGTTCTCAGTAATGATGACATTCCCTTCAAAGGAGACCACTTGGGTTTCTACCATCCGTGGCCCGTCTTTGGGAGGATCAAGTATAAATCGTGACCGCCTGGAACCCAAATGAGTGGCACTTCCTTTGGAGGTAGGTAACTGTGCAGAGCATTCACCGCGGCCTAATCCTGATGGATTTTTCTTCAATCTCCACAGATTATTAAAGGAATAGGATACCTGGACGAAAAAGTATTCCGATTTCAAAAAATCTGGCCAAAAGTCACGCAAAACCGATCCACGATGGTTGAACAATTTTTGCAAGAACAAATGCGCGATCTCGAAGGATTGTGGATGACATGTCGAAAGCAGATACATCGAGCAAACTCATTTCGTGGAGCAGCCCAAACGACCCACATCCTATCTTTGATTGTCTTGTTCATGGTCCCCAGCATGTTTGTGATCAGCCGAGTATGGGCGGTGCGCTCCACGACCGTCTCTCTACAGCTCACGATCACGACAATTTTCGTGCACTACGCAGCATCAGTCGACTTTCACAACTGCCTCATGGGGGTGCGTAACAAAGTGGACCGTGCATTGCGACCGACCTACAGAATAACATATGAACTGACACCTCACATCCTGTACACCCTGTTGATCACGGTAACAGTGTGTGGCATCCCCCTGATATGTATGAGCCTTGTCACCGATTGTGGGAAACGAAAATACGCCTGCAAATAGAAGTGTTTCATACACACGGTTGTATTGTAAAACCTCAGGACAAAGGGGGCGAGGTCAAAGACGATAAGAAAAAGTACATTTCGGGTGCTGATTTTCATAGGCACCGAGTAGAAGTTGATGTGAACTCGGCACACGGACCAATCGACTATGGTGGTGCAGGGATGATTCAGTTTCTTCATTTGGCAGGGATGATCTAGTTGCGACCAGAGGCGTTTTGCTACACCAAGTCGTTCATTTCATTAATGCACAGTTCCTCATGTTTGAGGGTGGCTAACATCAATTATATCTATATACTATCTATAAACTATACTATATACTATACTATTTATACTACTATATATACTACTACTATATATACTGTATATACTGCTATATACTATACTATATAGTATCTATAAACCTCCAATTTGTTGACAGAACAGTACGATGCTCCATACCGGGACTGTCGGTGAACCCTTCCAACTCTTTGGACTGAGGTTCTTGACAAAGAGACAGAGAACAGTCTTCTTTCGGGAATTGTTTCTTAGGTGAGTAATCGTCCAGTTGTAGAACTCTTCCGGTGCCTAGCTGCCATGCTATCCGAAGGAAGCGAGAGGGCTGGGATACCGTCAGGTTGTCCAAGCCTAGACAGGGGAAGACGGAAGAGCCAGAGGTCGGGTTCGAACCACGGACCTTCCGGTCAGTAAATTCGCGCTCTAACCAGTTGAACCATCTCGCCCCACAGTGAGCTAATTCTTATTGAAGCATTTTAGTGGCGCATATTCATTGGTCGTGCCGGAACTAGGTTGCCTGACACGAAAAGCGAGTGTGCTACGTCTGTCTCACCGAGACACGATGGATGCGTCTGGAGTATCACGTTCAAAAGTTTGGGCTTAAACGATATGTGAGGTTGAATGATCCAGTAACTGTCCTGTTTATTTCGACCGATGATCAGCCAGACGGTTCAACTAGCGCTTGAAACATACCTGGAAATTCGGTTTGCACCGTCCACAGACTTTTAAAAGCTCATTTATTTTCAGTTATCTTGTGGCACCACAAGTTCTGATGCATTTTGAAAAACCTCAGCGATCGATCAGGAAAGCCATAAATGCCAAGAGATGCAATCCAACGGCTTTCTCGGAACGACTGTACGCCTCTGGACCTTTCAGAATGATTCAAGAAGTTGTTGCACAGGAGAAACGTTTGTCTGAGTGACTTTTGTAGGCAAATAAGGAAGCTCCAGATCAATAAGTGGTTTTTATTTTATCGATTGGAATGGAAAGGTGATTGTGGAAAGGGGGCGGGTGGGGACGCGCGACAGTACGACTATCCGGTAGCTGTACAGTAGGGGTTAGGTATTCCCAAGGCTCTGGGAGGGGCCAAAGTGGGTTTCGAAGCGATCGAAATCCGTGGAAGACATGAAAACCACGAGGAACGGGTTGTAAGTGCTTCATAGTCATAGGATCCAGTTCTGTTAGATATCCGTTGTGAAATTCAAGAGCAGTTAATGGACGAAAACCATGTGCGCCGGGCCACCGAACTTTGAAAGCACAAATCGCAAGCCATGAGCGATGATCAACATCGACGTCAGATGACTTGCAGGAAACGAATGCAAAGGGCATCAATGAGTGAGTTGAATGTAGTTGAGTGCGAAGGTAGACCAGCGTGCCATGAGGAAGTTCCGAGGGAACCTTTCGAAGAAGCTGAGCGGCTTCGTGAAGTTGGGAAGTTGTCTGAAAAGGCATAAGGCTTCTTATCAACACCAGTGAATTTGCATGCGGGAAGGTTTGTAACTGAGTAAGCTGTTTCACATCAAAAGCTGAGAGAAAACATTGCAGAGGCAAAAAAAAAACACCTGGCGAGGAAGGTACAATTGTTCTAGTTTGCCCATGCTGCCTCAGTTGTTTCTACTCAAGTTTGAACAGCCTAGAAGTGCATCAGTCTTCTGGCCTCGTGTTGACTGGGTTGTACCTGTTCACCAAAAACCCAAACAAAACTTCATCGGCGACCTAATCAAAGCCATCAGCTGAAGCAAAGTCGTTTTTTTTTTGATTAAACGAGGATTGACGAAAACTTGGTACACGTTTCGGGCTCAGAGCGAGCTAGCCAGAAGCCTCAGCTCGTACTACCTGTGGGTATCATGAGTGTCAATCCTTCGACTATGGTACTCTCTTGGGGCACTGTTACCATGCAACTCACAAAAAGCACACAGATGACAACAGTACCAAGTAATGGGAGCCCATGTGAGGGTAGCTGAGATGTCACCCGAACGACCGACTGTCAGCGAAGCTTTCCCAACCGCAGCATCTCCACCGCCCCTGTCTACGCTTGGATAAATGGACCGTATATCAGCCTAACTTCGGGTAGCATGGCAGCTAGATGCCGGAAGAGTGTAGCAGCTGAACGACTTTTCATATAGGCCACCAGCAACCTCAATTGCTACACTTACGTGGTAGGCGCAGTGTCCCGTCAAAGAATCAGACAGGGGTTTCTGACTAGTGAGAGTTATGCTTGTGTCCCGTTCAAACCAGTTCAGTCTAGTGTAGCTGTTCCGAAGACTTAGCTTGACGGTTTAGGTAGAACTGCACCGCACCGCACCGCATCGCACGTCGGGGCACCAACCCATTGGCAGGACCACTATAAGAGTCTTACGGCGTTCTCAATGTTTCTCAAGACTAAACAATTCGATAAGATGCATGTATCGAATAGGTACGCTGAACTTGTAAGACGTTGGGAATGACTGTGGGAAACACGAACAGCCGGAGCAGTGTGTTGCAACGCGAAGGGGTATCCTGCCTTCGAAATAGTTTACACTACTCAAAATGTATAAGTAGTGTGGACACACTAAAAATTGGTCGTGCATACATACTGTCAGGCTTACCTCGTCCATCACAGATCCGGAGGATTCAGCTATATTAGTCAAACAAGGGACGACCAAGGGGCCAGTTCCAGATAATCGGATCTGGGCGACACCAGAATCTCCTCTTTTCTTTAGGACTGCCATTTCGGTACAGACATTGACTGGGCTGTCCTGGAGGGCGTGCCACAAACGGACGATCTCCGGGGCGGACTGTGAGCACCAATCGATGCGGCCCATCTCAGGTGTGGGACGTGAAGCACGCTTCTCTGCCAGTCCAGTTTGAGCTGCGATGGATTGTTGGCAATGGGAGCCATGCTCCACTCCACTAAGAGTACTCGGATGTAGAAGCACCTAAATCAGAGAAGAAAGTGCCGGGGTTCGTTCGTTTATTTAAGGCGATAACAAAACAGTTCCTTGAAGAGAGCAGTTCCCCAATAAGCTATCTCAATGAAGAAAGAAGGGTAAGGTGGACCAAGTAGTTAGAGCGCGAATTTGCTGATTGGAAGGTCCGTGGTTCAAATCCGACCTCGGCCTCTCGACTTCCTCTGTGTAGGCTTGGGCAACCTGGCAGTATCCCAACCCTGTGCTTCCTTCGGGTAGAATGGCGGCTAGGCACCGGGTGTTACAGCTGAACGATTTTTTATGAAGAAGGTGATGCTAGCAAGCCAGAAAAACTCTTTTTAAATCATAAGATAACTCTCAATAAATGAAAAGTTTGCTAGAACTCAACAAGAAGTTCTAAAATGAACATCTTTCGGCAGAATGAAACGTTCACTGATTATCTATCACCTAGAACAGTCGCATGCTTTCATCCGAGTTAGGTGAAAGGTTACCACGTCTGATTATGCAGGAAATTAACACAAACGGGTAGTCAACCGACTCATGAATATGGACGTATAAAGTGGAATCGAACCCACTACCACTGTTTTTCGACTGTCTTTCAAGATCACGAAATTGTAGCAAGAACCACCCTTCAGCCTGGACAGTTAAACGCAGTTGGGAGCTTGTTTACTTTTCAGCGTGGTGGCCAATTGGATAGGTGGACTGACCGTGATACTGTCCTTTCAATTGAGGTAGAAGGTAGTTCTATCAAGCGGTTGTGTGCGTGTAAGGGTACCTCTGTCAGAATAATGCTAAGTCCGATGTGTGAATTGACTGTAACCTTTGGTATGACTGGCTGAAAGTGCACCATGCATCCAATAGGCGTATTCATGAATTTAAAAGGAAGGTACTGTAGCGACCCAGTCACCCACATACTTGACGGTTCAACTCAGTCGCTCACCGGATCGCGAGGCTTGTCTTTTTTCTCATGAGCACAAACCACGTCGCATTAAACTGACTCATCGGACATCGATTTTCTGCACCGCCTAGTCAGCGTAGCAACCACTCATGTGCCGACGCGCCCACATACACGCACTGGGACCTACATAAAGGCAAACCGAACCTAGTCAGGACACTCAGACTGGCGCGCGCGCAGGGAGCAGGAGGTCAACCTCTCCACAAGTCCACGGACAATCATGGAACATGTGTAGCAGCCAAACTGCGGAGAAAACACGTTACCGCCGTCCGGACTTTCACCAAGGTACTCTCACATACAATAAGTTCCTTTTTGACTTGCTCTCATCCTCGCACTGTATTTTATACGTGTCGCAACCATGTTAAAAACTTCTATTAGTGCACATACACCTTCTGATTTGTATTATAGCTACCACCACCTGCGCGCTAATAGTACTTATCTCCATGATCACCAGTCAGCTGCCCTGTAACCCGAATGAGAGAGGGAGGCTAGGTTGTCCAAGCCTAGACAGAAGCATCCGGTTCAACTGTGAGTGTGTTTGCTTCAGTCAGAAGAAGGTGCGGTCCTCACTGGATGCCTGTATTCAAGAAAACAGGTTTTACAGATACGCACGCTCGTTACGTTGATTAATTAATTGGAACGTACACTCGTTGTACAACTTCTGGAAGGCGCTCGTGGGTTACTGAACCAGCGTCACAAGGCTCACCTAGTGAAATATCAAGCTTTTGAAGAGGTTAGAGTAATTTGGCGCACAAAACACATTATGAGAGCGCCCAATGTGAACAACTACCGTAAGTTACCAACTATATTATCTAAGTATTCATCTGACTTGCGAAAAACCTTGATAACACAACTGCAGTGTCGACTCTTAAAGGCTTAAAAAAACAAACACTCATGAGGGGCATTACTTGTTAGTAAGTCAGTTGCTCGTCTGTAAGAAACCCGTGAAGAAGAGTAACCATGAACTACCGGATGTGAATCGAAGGGCTGGAGTTAGCTCACTTTGACAAGTAGATAAACAATGACTAGATCAATGAAAGCACCTTCAAAAATTTTTCATAAACTCGTCGTATAGTCAGTCAGACAGACAGACACAGTGTTACAAAGTAATACGTTGGACACAAATCAGCTTCAATACAGACAGCTGATTGAAAACGGTCCTGGAGGGCAGACAGCCGGCTGGCATGTGAAGCAAGTAGCCTAACCGACATAATTCATGGAGTTGACTGACAACTATCGCCGACAAGCTGCCTCTTCTGATATACGTCAGCCTTATCACCTCCATACTCTCAACGGACACCAGTCAGGAGACAAATAATCACACAATCAATTCAATTCAGTTCCTCAGCTATTGTCCAGAGGCCAACCATCCCCAATAACCGAACATCACTTTATTTGGATGGATGTGTTACGTGCGGGACACGGACCGAACGAAGGCATGCCCTGATTGGTCAGAATACCAGCCAATCCGAGTCGAGCATCTTTGACTCGACGCTTCTCGCCCCCTCACAGAGATTCTAGCACGACCTTGTGGGACATTCTGTGATTACCCTATAAATACAGTTGTAGTAATTTTCCGTTGTTCCCATAACGGGCTGTCTGAAGCTACCGTGCCTTTTGATATACCATAGTGGGCGGAGCAGGAAGCCAAGGGACCGATACAGAGTTGCACTACAGTTCAGCAAGACAGCAGCTATAAACCCTGTACCTCGGACACGTTTCCAGCTGCTACAGGTTCGATTAGCGGAAAACGGGAGAGTATGGGTCATACAACCAGCAAAATCGAGATCACCGCAGTATTTTGGATATGTCCTTGACGGATAAACTGATGTCACACCAGCGTGATAAGTATGGGAATTTGGGAAAAAACGATGTGATTTTTGCGAGCAAAGAAACTATTTTCCTCTTTGACCAGGCCACCTGAACTGATATGATTGCACGGCAGGTGAATTTTGATTGGATGGCCTGCTGATTCCACTCAGTTTTTAGCAGCACATGGCACTTTACAGGTGTGAATCGCATACTTGGAATGAACCAACCAGAACGTTCGATATCGGTGTGACACTTCGATCGCACAGTCTTGGCTATCACCACCGAATATGGGGAACTCAAGTAACAGATACGTACGGATTCTGGTGCGTCCATGGAAGTTCATCACCATCATCGACAGCATAACATCACTGTTCAATAGTGAACCTTCGCTGTTGTGGAAATTAGCGTAAGGTGCTTTTGAGAGAGATACGAACCTGAGTAGAACTCCCCTTAAAGGGAGACTTTAACTCAAGGATATTCCCCTCCTCTGTAAACCACCTTCGTGAGTGATAAAAAGGACACTGTTATAATAGCGAACCCCCCAAAAAAGGCAAACGAACAAGGCTATCAGCTGTTAACGAGCATAGCAGCTAGCTGCGGAATCTCGCACTGATTTGAGTACCCCGCCATGATACTGAACTATAACGGGGTCTTGCATTTCAGCCTGACAAACGCGGAATATCGAGGACGGTTGAGACGCAGTAAGATGGTCTGGAGAGTACCGGTAACAAGAGACAGAACGCAGACTGGAACACGACACTAAACAAGCAGAAAGTGCACAACACGGAACGCAGACTATGGTGCACGTGACCAATTGGCCCACTACCATATGAGTAACTTTTAAGGCAGACCACCGAAACTAAGCCACCCTGAATAGAGACCCAAAACGTCCATCTGACCTTCTCATCAACAAGACTGTTGTATATCCGAAGTCACCATTCGCATGGTCCAATCACGAACAAGTAGGGCCCATAAAGAACAATGACTGGACTCCAGGTGAGTAGCTCGCCAGGAAGTGAGAATAGGAATCCAGCTAGGCTCGATAGTGACCAGTAACTCAAGGGTGGAACTATGGTAGTGCTGTGCACTAGACAACTACCTTATATACTGCCTACTACGTCCTCTGATTAACACACCTTCCTCTAAATGACTTCCCCGACCACGTGACTGTTCATGGCACTCGCAGGTGTCAGGCTGCTCGTACCACGTGAGTGAATTTGTTTGAGTTTTGCGAGGTCATACTGCAGAGGTAGTCAATAACACCAACACTCGTTTAGATGTAATGCCTTTTCGACGCTTAGCTGCCATGCCACTCGAAGGAAACACGAGGGCTGACATACTGTCAAGTTGCCCAAGCCTATACAGAAGCAGTCGAAACGCTGATGTTGGGTTCGAACCACGGACCTTCCGGTCAGTAAGTTCCAGCCTAAACCACTGAGCTATCTCGAGCTATGGAAGACCGCCGTACATCAATATTGCGCCATCCAAGACGGGGTGTTCCGTTGAAGATGTTGGACTATATGATAGGGAGTCTATAAGACTACGGTGTTATTGCCACTAGTTTTTCGATCGGATGTTTACAGACGTATGCACCAATTCCTCGCCTCCAAACTAATTGCACACAACGGGCCTTATTTATTTACACTGATAGGGTTATAGGGTAGCGAAGCATCGGTGTTCTGCATTGGTGTTGTCATTGGGTTACCTCAATCATCTACCAGGAGGAGATCCTTTTTTGACGGTATTTCTAACAAAAGCGAAGAATGAACGATGAATGAGACTAGGAAACAATGCACAGTTCCGTTCGTTAGTAGAAGGATCTACGAGTTGCGTATATGACGACTAACCTTGAATTGGGAGCTGACCGAGTAGGGGCTCGGCTAATTTGTTAGGACAGCGCAAAACAGAGCTTATCCTCAACGTACTTGAAACATAGCTTCGATACTGAACGGACTGAGGTGGTCTGTTAGCTGTCTGACCGTCATTGGCTCGGAAGTACCCTCAAGGGAGATTGCATGCTGATAGAGAATAGGCCCACTGTCGAATGTGTGCTGTTCTGTTGGTATCCGGATCACCGTGACACCAGTGACTCGGTCGCCGACAACAAGTGTGTGAAATAGCGGACAAGGACCTCGCCATCGGGGTAGCAAAGATGGATGGACATTGATGCAACCACGATCAAACAGCGTAATCATTCCAGTCGGCAAGAATCGACCGAATGAGATGATGAGTCCCAGAAGACCGGCGGGTTGGCGCTTGGATCGCTCGAACTCGGTCCGGAGTTCCTGTACACGGGACAAAACAGTATTTTCTGCACTGTGAGCACAGCGTGGCCAAGTACTGTAGACTGGAAGGTGGAAACAAAAGTCAATACAGCCATATTTTTTATCAGTACATGCTGGTGCTTGACAGCTATACAACTATAATTTGGATCCTTAGCTAACAAACTGGCTTACGAGAAGTATAGGAACTGACATAACTCCCTATAAACGGAAATTCGGTACGGGAATTGTATAGAGAAACGTGAGGAATCGACCGGATGAAGGCAGGTCTTTCTGAGTACACACCGTGCTAGCCGTAGGAAGCACAAAGGATGATGCCATACCAAGTCACTCCGGTACAGATAAGTCAGTGAAGGTGGTCCGGAACGCTTGGTCCGTACATGCATCTCCGAACTCACCATGAAAGAACACATACGGCATAAAAAATGAGACCTTTAGAACGGGTACACCTATTCATGGAGGCAGTGAACGGTTCGGAAAAAATCGGGGCCCCAGAGAGAGAACTCAGTGTTCTCAGACTCATAGCTATCGTTTTGATACCTGTCTTCGTTGGTTGTCTCATCCATGCTACCTCTGCGAAACTGAAGGACTGATAAACTGATGTCAACCAACGGAGAGCCGTACAAAAAGGGTCACTGTTAAAAACAGGTCTTCCTAGCAAGAAGCATCAGAGCCCCCCTCCTCCCGAGGAGATGCCACCCCCATAACAGAGGTAGATACTTCCACTACTCTGGTCGACTTTCTTGGGTGCGAGTGCGAGTTTTTCCAGCGGTAGGTGAAATGAACTGAGGATGCTTAGCTCCAAGCCGATAATCTAAGTGACGCTTAGCGTGTTAACGAAACTGTACTATCTCTAATACGCGTTACGATTAATCCGTAAAGCCGCTGACGTCATACCACCCGCAAGACCGAAACAGCTTAAAGTGATCAGACCGCTTACTTAGCACCCGTGACGAGTCAAATCCAGCGTCTGTACCGAAAGAAGAAACATTACTGAACATGACATCTTTTGTCATGGAGTAACACTGAGAAGCACGGGGCCTTCGTCTTAGAAACCCAGTCTGGAGAAGTCTCTAAATAGGGCAAGGATTTTCTCTGGTTCGAATCTTTTTTATCGTTCAGCCGTAGCACCCTTCCGGTGCTTAACTACCACGCCACCCGAAGGTTGCACGAGGGCTGGGATACTGCCAGGTTGCCCAAGCCTAAACGGGGGAAGTCCAGAGGCAGAGGTCGGGTTCGAACCACAGACCTTCCGGTCAGTAAATTCGCGCTCTAACCACTTGAACCATCTCGCTCCTTTTTTACCACTGAACCTTTTCTTCCTGGGGTACATTCCAATCAGAGCTAGCCTTGAGTAACAAGATATGCGAAGACAAGTAATCAAGGGTCACACGAGCGAGCCAATGTACACGGCAGAGGGGATCAAACCAACTGATCGGCGACAGCTGTTAAATGTCTTTTGGGACTGCCAATCCACGACAGGCACGTAATACCACAGAAACATCGGCAGATGGAGAATAGTTCTGATGCTTGTCCGCTCCTTTGACAAAGATACTGCCCTAGTGAAATGAGGCTAGACGAGTACGGACTTCTGAAGAGCCAGCTAAACCAAGGTTTATGGAGGATACGGTCGCTATCAATAATTTGTTTGCCGCTTGGACCATTTGATACCATCAGCAGTGAATTGTGTGGTATGGTGGAGCGTCGACTGAGTGGTTGTGTGACCTCTTTACACAAAGATCAAAATACAAACTCGATGTAAATAGCATGGAACTCTTGGGAGATACACAACGGGAGAAAGACCATTTGGAAGCAGGGTACTTTCCGGTGGATTCGATCAACCGGTATGTCATCATCATCATCATCCGAACCATCATCATAATCATCCGAATCATCATAATCATCCGAATCATCATCATCATCATCATCATCATCCGAATCATCATCATCATCCACAGGAAACTTTAAAAATCAGACTCAACGCTCTAGTGTTTGTTTGGAAAAAAAATTCGCAGAATTACTATTAAGCTCTCGGACCTTCAATAATTCGCTCTCTAGTCTACACTTCGTCTTTTTTCAAAGTTTGGAGGTAGTCGTGTATTATGTTTCTCTCATCTGTTACAATGTCACAGTAACAGCGAAGACATTCTTTTTTGCTAATTTATGTAAGCCGATCGGTTCGCAACTCGTCAGAAACGCGCTTTGGACTGTATTCGGCTCAGACAAAAGCACACCAAAGTATTTCCTTAGCTTTTGTTTCATGGCCGATTCATCTAGTCCACAACACCATTAAGCGCATTCCTAGTCAGCATGGCTTTGACTTCTTAAGTTAGTGGCGACACTCTTTGCCTCGCTGACATTCCTTGGCCGCTAATGGGAAAGGTACTTGAGACACGAGTATTTTGGCAGTCCGAAACGGTTCGCAGATTTATTTCACCATCAACAGCATGACATCAATGTTCAAAACTAATGCTTTGCTGCCGTACATCCATGATTTATTTGTGAAGGAGAGAATAAAAGTGGACGGGGAATGGACTTAGTGCTAGTTTACTACAATCATTCTGAGGTGTCCACACCTTCAGACACTCATTTAGGAAATTTAGATAGAAACTGGCAACAAATATGTCACTGACATCGATGACCACCCATATCTTGCAGCGTCTTCAACCAGACGCGGTGAGGATCAAGTGGACGTTCTGCTGGAAAGCGAGTTGGACCCATAGCACCTTCAGTTTTCGTAGCCACTTTCACACCCTTTTGCCAGGACGAAGGTTAGCCACCTCCCTGCTTGATGCACAATGGTGAACAGCACTTCTTTCCGCAAGCCATGAGTCGGCATGCACAATACACGGTCAAATCACCATAGCTTCTGGTGCTGGACACACCCTTCGATTGAAGTATTGTTGCACAACCGAACACTCGTTTTCGAATTTCCTCGTTGCCTACACGAGCTATGGTTCTGAGACAACATTGAAGACATCTCAGTTCTGCTCCTAGAAAAGGCCACTTCTCACAGCCATGCATTGAAACATCCCTCAATGTAGCCTGATGCACAACAATTCAGGGATATGCCGCTTTGTCGTTATAGGTGTTTCAAATTAGGAAATGCGACCCTAGAATTAGAGATTTGCGCATTGACTTCATCTGTCATACTACCATCGGAACTAATACAACTTCCAAGGTATGTAAGACGCTCCACAACTTCGAGTACTTTTGCTTGGATTGTGAGGTGTTCAGCGAAGCACCAGTGTCAACAGTGAGAATGCTGGTTTTGATGATGATGATGATGATATTCAGCGAACGCACATCTATAAGCATGGCCTTAAACATTTTGGGTTCAGAGTGCATACCAAAGAATGGAATGGCTCTGACAAGTTCACCCACAAGCACCTGCACTTTGTGGGGGCGAGATGGCCCAAGTGGTTAGAGCGCGAATTTACTAGCTGAAGGGTCCATGGTTCGACCTCTTCCTCTCGACTTCCCCTGTCTAGGCTTGGACAACCTGGCGGTATCCCAGCCCTCGTGCAACCCTCGGGTGGCATAGCAGTTAGGCACCGACAGGGTGCTACAGCTGAATGACCTGCGCCTTGCTCCCCTCTTCAAAGACGAGAATGATGCCATCTGAATACTCCAGATGGACACGTCTTTAGTCAGCCGATAGCTAAACACGAGGGTTTTGAAGATCATCCGGTGTTCGTGTCATTA